CCTATATAAAGAAAGTTTTGTTAAAGTTCTATGGAAACACAGAAGACATTTATAGAAAAAATTTCCATAACATAAGACTAGAGAGAGAAGTAGATCCTAACACCACCATATTCAATATTAGAGACAATCTTGTCAAATGGCTTGAATTAACTGAAATTGACCTAAATGATCCAAAAGCATTACTGGATATGTTTATCATAGACAAAATATTAAGAAATGCATCAGTCTCTTTATTTTCATTCCTTAAAGAGAGAAAGATTAAAAATGAGCGTGAGTTAGTTGACTCAATCACAACATTTAAAGATGCTCACCCCAATGAAGAGCTAGACAATAGAAACAGCACACTAGCCTCTATTAGAAACACACCCAGTGATAGGGACAGTCAAAAACAAAACACATATCAAAACAGAAGATACCATAGCCTACCTGCCAGATGGCAAAACAATAAATTTCAGAAAAGTCATCAAAACAATTACCAGACACCATATACTAATTATTCAAACAACAACAAATGTTTCTACTGTGGCATTCCAGGTCACAAAAAATATGAGTGTAGGAAATTACATAGAGATTTAGGACATTCACAACAATACTATCAGAGAACATCACCCAACAGCAGTCCAATTAGATACAACAGTACAAATAGGAGTAGACAACAATATAGAAATCAACAAAGTGATCACCAAAGACACAACACCAATCAAACAAACAGTACACACAATCAGAATACACCTCATGAAACATCAGCTAGTATTTATCACACTGATGGAACACTCAAATTTTCACCAGCAATTGTAAACAATAAAGTAGTTAAATGTCTCAGAGACACTGGTTGTACAACAATAGTTGTAGACAGAAAATTAGTAAATGATAACTACTACACAAATGAAAAAGCCATAGTTATTTTAACCAACAATAATAGAATAGTATGTCAGAAAGCTAGAATCAAAGTTAATTGTCCATGGATCACAGGATCTGTAACAGCTGTTGTAATGGATAATCCAGTGTGTCCATTAATTATTGGCAATATAAAAGAACTAGGCAATAACACTAAGTATCTAATAACAGAAGGGATAAGAGGAAGACATTTAAACATGAATCCAACACATAGCATAACAAGACAACATAACAAAGGAATTCTTAATAAAACATATACAGAACAAAAATCAGACAGGGCAAAACACATTTTTAGACTAAATTCAAGAAATATTCATCAACA